ATATAGATGTGTTTCTATCATGATCTTCCAATCATCATAAACTAGAAGAGAAAACTGAGGCAAACCGTGATCCATATTGTTAACCATTTTGATCACTTCACATTAATCTTAGAGTAGATAGTGAAAAGGAATGCTCTGGTAGCAATTGATGGTCCTCGAAGTGGTAAGGTACAAAGTCTAGAGGGGGGTGAATAGACTTTGTTACAAATTAAAAACTTTTTCGTTATTTTTGAAAATGTGAGTTGATGAGAAACAATTGTTAATCTTAAGTTCTTGAGCACTTAGATTAAGCGTACGGAAGTTGGTGGAGTATTGGAGCAGTAATCAAGTATGGATGGGTTAGCTCCAAAGTTTAAAACTATCACTTTAGTAGTACGTAAAAATTATAAAGAGAGAGAGACACTAAACTTTTAACAAGGTTCGAAGGTGGGGTAATCCTGCTACGTCCTCAGAATCCACTAGGTAATTGGTTGCCGAAAGTGAACCATAATTACAGTAGTGAAAGCACAGTATATCTTCGCAAAGCAAATGTTGCTATTTCACACGTGCCGGTTGTGTTGTTCCTTCGAAGGTCAAGCTTCTTCAACAACTGCAAGATCTGAAAAATAGGACTTGCAAGATCAGTTTGTATGAAAACTGACGTGCCCCATTTTAATCAAGAAGTTTGATTAAAAATTCCGTCAACTTGGTGTTGTACTTTTAGGTAAGGGACCTTCAAGTCTTTTCACTTATAGCTCTTGGAAGAAGGAGAAGTTTGCTTCCGGATAAAGGAGTATTAGACTTCTCTCTTTTTCTAAGCGTTGAGGATTTTCTCGTAGAGTGTCTGTATTAAGTGTGTTGTTTCTGTTTTTTCTTCAGTCTTCCGTAAGAACTATATATGGAGCTAGATGGTTTAATCTATCCGTGGAAGAGAATAGATAAACTTTCAGTTGCTGGCCTCAATCTGAATGGAGGGAGCGTGAGGATTGTCCTTGGAAATATCTTCTTGGACATAAGCTTTTTGTTGAAGAGATTCCTTTGTCATAGGCTTTGTCTTCTAGCTATTGGTTCAAGAGTTCTGGACTGTAGTTCTTTAATAAGGGGAGTCCACATTTTGTCTTCTTGTCATTTGTTCTCGAATCAGTTGAATTTTCATCAATCTAGCCGTTTGATTGTCAAGGAGTTAATCTCCCCGGGCAACGGGTAGAATTCCTTCAATCATGTCTTAGATTATTTTCTAAGTCCTTTTTCTTTCTCACTTGTCGATTGAGAGTTCCGATTCATTGAGAAATCTGGCTCTTAATTCTGACAGTTCCGGATAAGTGATACTGAGACTACCGGGTGAGATAGATATCCGATGTAGTCTTTTGAGAGACAGAGGGATCAGCGCTAGTGCTAGTTTTTGTTAGTTCCATATTGTGTTGGCATTATTTTTTTGACAAACGAATAGATTTACCTAGAATTATTTTAGATGTTTTATTTAGACTTAGAGTCCTAGCATGTGAAGGAAGAGAAAGAGGAAAGAGCTTGATAAGAGAATTCCAATCCTACTTGGTTTGCTATTCTTAAGGAGGAAGACATGGTTGAGACTCCTAAGCACACTCTAACAAGGCTATTCTATTCTATATAATATCTTCACCCTCCCTTAGGGTTTTGGGCATGCAAAACTACGTAAGACCTTAAGCGAATCCGATCAAAAGAAAAACAAGGTGCAGAGTTTGATAGTGCAAAGTTTCTGGACAGCCCGCACAGATTTGTTCATCGCCGGAGATCCGACCGTTGGATTTTGCTGAAATTTTAAGAGAGGGTTTCCAACACATAGGGCTTCAACGTGTTCAAATTTCACGTCAATCGGAGTTACGAATCTTCTGTTATCGAAGTTACAATCTACACATTGTTGCTGATTTTTTGCACAGAACGCAGCTCTGGTTTCGTCGATGATCGGAGTACCAAATCTTGTCTGATCGTGCTGAAATTTTAGGAGGAGTCCAAGGACTCGTGGAGCCTCAATCTGAACGGTGGAGATCAAATTTCAATGGTTGAATCTCGATTTATGATCTTTAGAACAGCCCACATATTTTTGTAGATCAAGGAGGATCTTTATTTGAAGGTGTACTGGAATCTACGTCCTTGAAGAAGATCTTTGAGAAGGTGTAACAAGCCGTGGAGATAGACGGAAACCGAGTTTGTCGTCAAGTCATTCGTAAGTAGACAAATCAATACATTAGAAGAATCTGTTGTGATTGATTGTGTAATTCTTACGGTGATTTAGTGGAAGAGCTATTACACGGACGTGGGCCTTACAGACGTAGGAGAATTTGCTCCGAACTGCGTGAACAATTCTGGTGTCTTGCTTGCTGTTTTTACTTTATATTTTACGTGTGTGCTTGTGACAAAGAAGGTGTTATAGCACTCTGTCAGTCATCTGTTACTGTGATAGTGCTGCAGCATATTCTCTACAGCATAGTTGATTGCTTTGTTTGCATAGCTTGTGTTTGGTGTTATCACTGCGCCCCCACAAACTTACAGTTTTCTGAAGTGTAGATTTCCGGAATAGTAAACAGCGCTAGCTTTCCTATTTTACACGGATGGCTATGAGACTTCCGGGTAGAGCTTGAGTCTTTCGAACTTTAGAATTATGAAGCGGTTAACTTCTTTGAGAATTCCATTCTTGAATATGATATCTCCGAGTGAGATTTCCGATTTCCATGTCATTGATTATTGACAGATCTTCAAACATATTTGCTCAAATCTCAAGGCGAAATATCACAAGTTTCATTTGAACTCAAGAACTTGGTTTTAACAAAATTTCTAAGAAAAAAAATTACATTGAATTGCGAGGTATTACTTTTAATTAAGGCAAGAATTTCTAGAATGAAATTTTTATTCTAAAAGTGGCAACTTTAAAGTTTAGTTTATAGGAATTGAATAAAAAACTTAATCAAAGACATGAACATATCAACTTTGTGGTCTTCTCATTCACGATCTGAAATTGAACTATTGTCTAAAAAGGCATTAAATATTTTATACGGAAGAATGAAAAAGTTGGTAGAGATGCGTAATTAAAATGATATCAATCTAAACTTTACTCTGTCTGAAGAAAGGAGATGACAAAGATGGAGTATCTTTAGGATTGAAAATAATCTAAAATTGTAATTAAAATCTAAAATAAAAGGAGAAGATGTATAAGGCCTAATTAAAATCTGAAATAAAATTGTAATGATATTTTATGTTCAATAAAATTATATTTACAATTTCGAAATATATATATTAATATATAGTTTCGAAATTTTTGAATATATGTATAATTTACATATTTTCGGTACAAATAAATAATGAATATTTATTTCAATGATTTATTTAAGTCCAATGTTTATTCCAAGACTAAAATAAATCATTTTACTAATTTTCGAGATTAATAAATAATTACCAAGTTAAAGTTTAATTTCCAACCGTAAAAGTTCTACGAAAAACTATAGTTTGAAATTTATTTTATTTATTATAAAAATCTTTAAAAATCTTTGTTATATGAAATTTATTTTATATGAAATATATTTTATTTATTATAGAAATTTTTAAATAAAAAATTAAAAAATTATAGAGTTTTATCTCATAATTCCTAATTTGTAATCAAAATTGGGAGAGAAGAAGTATGTTTAAGAAACATAATTGAGACGTGTGAAAGTATATACAAGTAGAATTATTTAACTTTTGAATAATGAATTTTGAATAAAATGGGTGGTAGTGGTGTTGTGGGTACTTTTGTAAGAGAGCAATGCTAGGTTTACAAACAAAATAATCACAAAAACCACAAATTTAAAATATACTCCTTCCGTCCCAAAAACTTTTTCACGTTTCAAAAAATGGTGTCCCACAATGTCCTTTCCAATTCTATTAAAAAACCATTTTTACCTCTTATTTTTTCATATCTTACCTATCACATCATATCTTTTTACTAATAATCTACACATCACATCTTATTTTCACTCATCACATCAATGATATTTTTAGAAAGTCAACACAAAATTATTCATCTCTCATTTTACCACTTTAGTCAATATGTCTCTCTCTTTCTCGCAGGGAGTACGATTTAGATTTTTTTTTAAAAATTATTATAGACTACTTTATTATTTTTATTAAAGTTCATAAATAGCAAGTTTTTTGAATTTTGCGGTGATTTTTTTCTTGAATTTTGCGGTGATTTTTTTCTTTGAGAAAAAAGAAAAATTGTTCACGTGTTCCGTCATTTTCTCCATTCCTTCTTCCCTTATTCAATTACCCTATTCAATTCCTCTAATCCTTTTTCCCTTTTCACACCTTCCAACCATCTTTTCAAATTCAAACACTCTCCTCCCTTTTCCAATATATTATCTTACATTTATACCTTTTCAATTTCTTCCTTATTCAAATCCTCAAAATTATATCACAATTCACAACACAACACTTCTTCATTCTACTCTCAATAAAAAGGCATGTGATTATTTTTTTAATTTTTATTCTTTAAAATCATTATATTGTTTGGCAAAAATGATTAGACTTTGTTTTTATTATCTTATAAATTTATTTAATTGTTAGAAATATGGTATTTAGTACTCCCTCCGTCCATGACTGTTTGTCCACTTTCATTTTTGCACACCATCCAATGCACTTCTTTAATCCATTTTATCTTGTAATTTGTATATTAAAAAATTATAAAAATTATATATTAATAATCTATATGTTAAGACAAATCAAACAAGATCACACATGACTATTTTTAGGCTTACATATTGAGAGAATTTGATGAATCAAAGTGCTTAGATGAACAGTTCCAAAAGTCAAAATGGACACACACTCAGAGACGGACCAAATATTAAATAGTATGAAAAAATGAATCAAATAAATTCTTATGATAGATATATGTTGCTTTTATATTTTGCATTTGTATATAATAACTTTAGGGAAGTTTTGTATACTCCCTCCGTCCCGGAGTATTCGTCCAGTTTTAACTTTTGGAACTGTTCATCTAAGCACTTTGACTCATCAAATTCTCTCAATGTGTAAGCCTAAATATAGTCATGTGTGATCTTGTTTGATTTGTCTTAATATATAGATTATTAATATATAATTTCTATAATTTTTTAATATACAAATTACAAGATAAAATGGATTAAAGAAGTGCATTGAATGGTGTGTAAAAATGAAAGTAGACAAATACTCTGGGACGGAGGTAGTATATGGTAGAAATATATTTGGAGTATATTATAGTATATTTTTTTATTTCTTTTATGTTTGATACATTATTATGGTCCAACATTTGTACATAGCATTGAAATATGGAGTATATTTTATTTTATTTCTCTTATGTTTTCTTGTATTTGCATTAAATTTTATGAAGCAATGGACCGACTTGAACGTGATATTGTCGGTCCTCGAAACGATGCTGTGTTAACGTTTCAACAGAAGCATCGTTCCAGATGCGTTTGGGAAGAGGAAGATTTTCTTGATGCAAAAGTTTTTTGTTGTCGGTATGACGCTGGTGTTGAAAGCTCTTACGAAGATGATTGGATAGAGACAAATCTCAGGACTACTGGTTTTTACGGGGTGCATCGTGTACAACCCATTAAACTGGATCACAGTTTAATCACGGCGACCGGAGGTTCATGCCTTTCAAAATAGTTATTTAAAAAAAAAAAAACTCTATATAGATATTCCACCCAGGAAATTCTTGTTTATTTTTTTACCTTTGAGGGAAACCACCCGGGGAAGATGGCCTCGCCTACACCGGCAACTGCAAGTTCTAGCTCCCCGGCGGCGGACTCTCATCGCGAGCTTCTCAAATTGGTTAGTGTTTATTCATCATTCCCACGTCTTTCCGTATAGTTTAGGAGTGTTATTCCCTAGGTTAACGGGTTAGGCGCTACAAATAATGCTTATCTAACAAATTGATTCGTCGGCGGCGGACCAGGTGAAGAGTCACGAGGTTGCGATAGCGGAGCTCAATAATATCTCTGCTTCACGAGTATGTAATTTCTTCTGCTCGAATAGCTTCACTATCTGACATAGAATTGGTTATGCTCAGTTACAAGTTTGTTGCTTGAAGATTTCCTCTGTCTGTTGACCCGTTTAGCGTGAATGGCGAATTGTGAAGATGATTTTTTTTTTTGTTTTTTTCCACTGTAGTCCACATTGTTTGCAAGATATAATGTCTGGATATTCCATAAAATTAAGGCATATTTGTGTTCATTGTGATGCTAACTGCTAACGGTTTTAGCGAACGGGTCTGAGAGGTTGAATATCGATATGTTTGAGAATTTTGAACTTTTAAAATCTAGATTTGTATGGATGCATTGAAACTGAGGAATAGCGGATAAAATTAGGACAAGCTAAAGTCTCGGGTGGGGAGGCTGTTTTTTTGGATGAAATCCACACCAATTTTTTGAACAGAGAAAGGGTTATCTTATACGGAGTAGTTTTTTCTGTGAAAAATGACAATGCGTATAGAAACAACACAAAAACCATAAGCCTAGTATAATTCCAGCTCTGGGGGGTGAAGATATTCACAACCTTTTCCACGTAAAAAAAACATGTTTTTGTCATACTCTTGATGCATTGCTCCATTTCCTTCCTAAAAGTTCATAGCAAGTAAGAAGGAAAGTAATTTGCCTTTTTGGTTTATCCAAAGCTAAAATATTTTCTAAAGTGACTCTTTTTAGTACTATTGACAATGCATATAGCAATGATCATAAATTCAGATGGAATTGCAGTAGCATCACAGTATGACATTGTAATGCTGCTGATATAGGAATGGTTATCAGTAAATTAGCAAAATTTCTGTCATCGTATCCACCACTGCAGGATGTCTTTCAATACTCTGTATATGGACCTGAGATTTGCAAGATACAAGCTGCTCAAGTATCTGATAAATATACAAGAAGGCCGTAGTAATTACCAATTTGGGCTTAGGCAAGAAGTAAGGTTAGGTAGTTGTAGTAGTTAGTATGATACTGCATGTCCCTGTTGTATTTTTAAGAATTGGCATCAAGTGGCTACTCTATATGCTCTCAATGTGAGTATTTTCTGGCTATTATTTAGATTTCTAGGGTAGCATATGATCATAACGATGAAAGGGATTTTCAGGCTTGTCAACATGGGATATCATGGAGATTAAACACGAATTACCATCAACACCTTAGCCCAACTAGTCAGAGTCGGTGGCATTAAATCTATAGTGCAATGATGTGAGGATGTCCTACACAAGGCATAAAAAAAATCTAAAATGGGCTTTGAGACATTTTGATAATAGTGTTCTTTGACTTTTTGGATAGCAATAGCATATGACCAAATATGAGAGAAATTTGTCAGGCTTGTAAACTTGGGAAGTCATCTGAACTAGCCATGAATGACCATCCTAAATGCAAGCGAGCAATGCATCCAATATGTGGTAGATAGCAAGGTTTTGAAAGGCGAAAACTAGCCTCGAGGCAGTGGAGCAAAATGCCTTGAGGCATAAGCCTCGAAGTGGGACGAGGCATAAGCCTCAGTTCAATATGAAAAAAAATAATACAAAGTACTAAAATATGTACACAGAGGTAAAACAAAATGCATAATCCATTTTCATGTTAAATAAATGATAAAATCATAATTCCTGAATTTTACAAAAAATGATGCCCTATCTTGATTTTTGAAACACATAAAAATAGAATTATAAAAATTAAACACAGTAACATAAAACACAAATGTCTTAAACCCATCTTCAAACCTTATAAATATTAAATATGGACAAAGGTTCACGCAAAAAAAAAGTTACATCATTATTTGAAGTTTGAACCGAATTTAAAAGAGGGAGAGGGATGTTGGAAAAGAAGGAACCTAAAAAATTAAAAGTTGAAAGAAGAAGATGAAAGAAATAGAAGATAAACTATTAAATATGAAGCAATTGCCTTAGGGGCTACCACAAGAGTGAAGTTGTGCCACTGAAGTTTGAAGATGGAGAGAAGTACGTTTGAAGATGGAGAGACGAAAGTTGACGCTGAAGTCTTGGAAAGAAGTGTTAATTATCTACTAGGTTTATTAAGTTTTTCTTAAGAAACTATGTAGTGCATTGGCCCAAACGAGTTTTTGTAAAAGAGGCCCAATAGCTTTTTAAAAATAACTCTTATAATTGTTGAAATTCTTATTAAAAGTGAGGCTTATGCCTTGGTTACGCCTTACCGCCTCGGACCGCCTCCACATTGTGAGGCGTATGCCTCAAGTATCCCTACTCAGGCTTAAGCCACAGAGGCAAAATGCAACCTCCTTACCGCCTCAAGGCGGTCGAGGCGGACTGCCTCGGTTGCCTTTTAAAACCATGGTAGATAGTCATTGCAAGGATGTCCTACATAATACATGCACACATGCATTTGTTCCATTGATCTTTGATTTTTTTATTAAGGTTTTCAACTTGCTTGAATGGCAGGCTGTGTACAAACGAAATGGGAACCTATTTTTTCGTACAAGTGCTCAGAAGGCAACTTCATATGAGCAAAGTAAGAGTTTATCCCCTGCACCATTACAACATGGGCCTGGTGTATGTGTGTCAACTTTTCTTACTCTAGTGGACCTAGGGGTTCATTTATTCTCACTTATATTTCTTGATGTTGTGCAGAGCAATTGGAGATGGCCAAAGCTAAGCTACAGAAGTTAACTTCGTCTTGATATTACCAAGGCTTCTTTCCCATTTGATTGTAACCAATTGTACTGTTCATCACATGAGCAAAAAGTTCCCTAATGACTACTTCTGAAATGTCTTGAACTGAAACACTGTTTTCTTGGTCATATAATGTGGAGTGACATGTAAACCCAAAGAGAGTACTATGATGATAGCTTTTGCAATCTTATCGTTGGAATGGAACTTGAAAATTTTGTTTGGTTTCTACATTTCTTTCTAAGCAGTTGTCCTCAAATTAAAGAAAAAAAATGCTGGTCAATTTTCGCTATGAGCCTATGAATATAACTGCTCACACAATCTTGGAATACTTAAATATTAGATAAAATAGGGTTTTCATTTGCTTTGATTTGGCTAGTTTCTTGATCAACACGACTGCAACAGTCAAAAGAGCTGCATAAACTGGATCAGGCAATTTCTGAGCCACCTTACCAATATAAGGGACTCCCTCTGTTTTCTTGCGTGTCATCCGTGCTACTCTTGGTGCCACAGCAAAATAAATCATCAGGCCTTGACTAACGGTGAAGACTGTTTCTTTTGTTAACTGACTGATGAAACTGACAAACTCGTTGCGGCTGAGTTCTCCGTCAAGGTTGAGATCATGTTTCTGTGAAGTTTCAAATTATATTATCACTTAATCTTCCAGCAATGTATTCCTGTTATTAAAAAGCCAACAGGAACTTACCTTCACCAGATCCCTGACTTGTTGTTTTGTAGGAGGATCAAAATGTGGTGCCGGCAAGTGTTTATTGATCCGGCTGGAAGAAGTATTAAGCCAAACTTGATCAGTATTATTCATGGAAGATGGTACAGCAGGGAAGTAAAATCTGAAATGCTTGAATCTTACTTGTAGATGAGCAGCACGGCAATGTAAAGATCTTCAAAGGTCAGATTCAATCGCCCTGCTTCATTTTTTATACGATCAAAAAACATGTCTGATATAACTTTAACTTTCCTTGCTCTCCATTCCTTGTAACCTGCAATCAGATAGCTCATTTTTTTTTTGTGCATTCAAGAAACAAACCATTCAATTAAGCTCTAATCAGAATTTGCAAGAACGGGTTCCACCTGCGTATTTGTCAAGAATCAGACCCATCTTGGCATTAGAAAGCAGGACTCCGTCTTCCCCTCCTAACCCGAAAAGGTACTGGCATTTTAGCTTGTTATGGAGCTGGCAGGTGAGATTAGGTTCATGAATTGGTATCTTGACATGGCTAAACTATGGTGTCCTAGTAAGATTAAAAATGAATACTATATGTGGTACAACAACTGGCCATATTTTCTTTTTTGGGTTCTTTTGTACTGTATTGTATTCTCAAACCTTAAAGGAAATGGTGGAAAATCCTGCACTCTAGCCAAACTAAACCTCTTGTAGCCCTTTGTTTTGCTCAAAAGCACACTGGGGGCTGTTGTGGCAATTGAACATATGAGGATAGGCCCGGCTCAATTGGATGAACCGACGGTCAGGCATTCTGATTTGATCGCAAGAATCCCGATTCAAGGCAGGCCGTAGACAAACCTCATAGCTCTTGGTGCTCTCCTTTGGTGCATAAGAGGCTCAAGGATCGTTCCCTTCAACTTATTTTTTTTAGCTTATTGCTTGTTTTTATTAAAATCAGATCATATTAGATTAGATTAAATTTAATCAGATCAGATTGGATAAAAAATAACTTCAAATATAACTACAATTAGATCAGATTAGATCCAATCAGATTAGACTATATCTTTAAAAAATCATATCAGAATATATCAGGTGAATGGAACACAGTCTTATTGCCTTAAAGTGCCCAAGACGGACTTAGGCCAGGCACAATTATTGAGGCCAGTGGTGGATCCAAGAAACGATGCCAATAGGGCACCATTAGTGTTTTCATTTTCATGAATTTCAGACTGGGCAAAAACAATACTGAGGGTCCGAGGGTAGTATGCGAATGACATAGAAAAGGCATTGCAATCTACCTATCAATTTCATCTCAAACAAATTTTCAAACAATTAAAATATGATTTTTTTAGTATGTGATGTATATTTAACTATTTATGGTGTGAATTAGTGGCATAATTTTTATATCACATCATTGTTGCGAATGAAAAAAATGATACTCCCTCATTTCCAAACTAGTGTCTAATTTTCTACTTTAACTATGCTCCATAAATAAAGTTTTAAAAAAGGGAAACGCTAGGGTACACTTTTGGTGTACTTCATTTGTATACTACTCAGCTCATCACCACACATTTCTTATTCAAAATGTTTTTACACAACTTAAGGGAGAAAGAGTGAGAAAAGGTACATTTCACAAAATCCATCACTTGTCGTTCTTTAAACACTGTCGCTAACATCATATTCAACAGTAAACAAATAATCCTTGAAGTGGGAAAATTTCTCTCCAATTACACCAACAAAATCATGGATTACATATTTATTTAAAGACGAGAATTATCTCTCTCTCTCACATCCAAAGCAAATGCCACTCCATTGGTGCACAAAGCCACATTTATTCTTCACAGTCAGCCCCAAAGTAGCAAAAGTCATCACTTAGTTTTTACCACACCTACAAGTGACTTAGGTCGTGCTCTTTTGAACTTATTTTTTTTACTTATTACTTATTTTATTGGAACCAGATCAGAAATAGTTTTAAATATAATTACATTCAGATCAGACTAGATCAAATTAGAACTTACTCCAATCAGATCAGAACCAATGAGATCAGGTGAAGAGAACATGACCTTAGAGCTTGTTCTCTTCATTTAATCTGATTGGTTCTGATCTGGTTTGATCTTATTGTAGTTGTATTCAAAATTGTTTCTGATTTGACCTGATTCCAATAAAAATAAGTAAAAAGTAATAAGAAAAGAATTAAAGAGAACAAGCTCCTAGTATATTACTAAGCAACAAGTGACAGAGAAAAACAAGCGATAATGAGTCAGAAAGAGAGCACACAATAAATCCAAAATGAAAGAGGCCACTCACAAGTATGGAAAGAAGACAAATCCTAAAGAGAAACTACACTGTGACAATATTGCAGAAATGATGGTAGAGTTCCAAAAATCCAAGAGCCAACTTAGAGAAATATCATGCTTAAAGCCTTGTTCTTTTGGTTTGAAAAAATTAACTTCTAATTTTTTATAATTCCTTCAAGTTTCTTCTAACGATTTTAAAAAGTATTTATATATGATGAATATACAATAATACTCCCTCCGTCCTAAATTATTTGTCACATTTCTATTACCGAGGCAAAATATCAAGTTTTTTCAATTCATTTTATTTACATATTGGTAAAGAAATGAAAAATAAAAATTACATATCAAAAAACTACATGAAAAGTTCTTCGAAATAAGAGGTGTCAAGAATATTTTATTTTATCAAATAATCAATGAAAACGTAGAAATAAACAAAAGTTCCCGCGAATGTTGAAAAAGCAAATGTGGTAAATAATTTGGGACGGAGGGAGTATTATATATCTAAATTTATAACATAGCACCACAAACATGGACAATGACGAATTCTTTTTTATCCAAAACTAGAGTTTTTTTTACATATTTATTTGGGTGACTTTTTAAATCTTAAAATCTTCCAACATTTTCCAACTTCTTCTAGTATTTTTCCTACTTCTTCCAGTTTTTTTCAACTTCTTTCAGTTTCTTCTAATATCCAACTCTGAAATTTCAATATAAAGAAGAGGGCCTAAACGTTGGTAACAAAAAAACAAAAGAAAACGAGTGTCTTTTGATTTGGAAAAGGTTAAGGACGCCTTGTCTCATACAAGGTTTGTAATGTGGAGTACTCCATGATCATCATGGTGCATATATTTAATTAGGCAGAATTGATTTAGCCCCATTTGGAAGGACACCAAATGTCATTCCAAACATTCAAAAATCTTGCAATACCTATGATATCAGTTTCCACTAATGTAATTTGTGAAAATTATTACAGTGTATATTTCTCAAAAAATGGTGTGCATTGTGGCACTACCCATGAAATATTTTTCTTTGTCACCTAAGCTAAATGCATTTAACTGAAAAAAAGAAATCTGGAAGAAATGAGTGAAAATACTCAAAGATGATTTAAATAGGTATATATATTTCTCATTTATATTTATCTTAATTCTTTATTGAGTATTATTGCAATGACTCTAAGCCTCTATTTATAATGGATAGGCATAGTATAAACATTCATACAAATAAACTAAGAAAGATCGAATTGTATAAGTTGCAGTCATGCTTGATTGAAAAGATGAAAAATCCACTTATTTCTTAACATAAACCATTAACTTGAAATAGAAAATTACTACTAGTACATTTTCATACAAAATTTAAAAAATGAAAAAGATGAGCTTTTCTTTTTAACCATTTGCTGCCAAAGTCTTGTCCTTTTTTCCTCTTTATGTTTCATGTACTTGTGCAGTACATTATAGTTTGTTATGAGCTCTGCAACACACCCAACATTATCATGTGCCAAGTCAAAGCTAAGAATTCATAAGATTTGTGTTCCAAGAATCACAAAAAGAAACAATCCATTTAAGAAAAAGATAAAAGAAGAGAAGAAGCAGACCCTTTACCAGCAAATTAAAACTCTCTTATTAACAAGTTATCATGAAGGCAGAACAGATTCTTGAAATGGAACAGTGCTACAACCCCAACAACAATGAGAACAATGGGAGAAATTCCCATTATACCCCTCAATGGGAATTCCCATGCCCCCAAGCACCAGATCTTCTTGGCATCTCCCATTTGATCCCAACCCCTTCTGTTCCCTTTTCTAACGCCTACCTGGAAACGTCCGGTTTCTTCCCCTACTCATTAGGGGGTCTCCTTGGAGATGCCATATCCCAAGATTCAAGTGCCACAGACTCTTTCCACTCTGTGCCTCAGAGGGGCTATGGCTATGTGAGGCCCTCAAGTATCAGCTCTCTCTTTGATGAGAAAGATGAGGAGCTTATAAACGATGGTGCTTTTCACCAGAGTGTGGGTGGGAGTGATTATGGGAGCAATGTGGGCTTTGAGTTAAATAATGCTTTCATGGAAGGTTTTGACAAAAGTAGAGGTGATAAGGATGATGCACATTTTGCCTTGGACAAGCAAAGGAGAGTCCAACTCAAAGACAAGTTTCAAGCTTTGAGGAAGTTGATTCCAAATCCCACAAAGGTAATGTAATGTAATGTACTTATGCCCCATTATTAGGGTGAGATTAAATATCATTGGTCCTATACTCCATATGTCATATAAAAGAAAGAGTCATAGTGTCAAAAAGAAGTCTTTTTTTTTTTAACAAAAGAAGCTAGATTTCATCATGTTTAGTGTTCCTTTTTTTTAAAAGAAAATGACCCAATCAACCCCAATCAAATAATTCTCAGAGATATATAGTTATATACCACTTTGTTGGGAAAGCATACACGAATAATCAAGCGGAAGTGGAAATGGGTGACAGGGGCCAATACAATGTACAAAAAACAGCATATATAAATAGAGAACACGTGATTTACATGGGGATTCCAAATCAGGAAGCAAATCATGGGACCGTTCAATAATAGTATCAAAACTTCCACTAATCACCGGGAACCAAGCGGGTACAAAAATCTCTCCTATCTAGTAAAAGCAAATACAATCATCAAGGAACAACCTTGGCAAAACAACAATAAAAAAAACTTCACCAAAATGTGAAAATCACACCAAAAACACCACTTTTACTCTTCTTTTTTTTTTATGGGAGCATAGAGAGAATCAGTTTATGTGAGTGTTAAGAAATGACTCTTGTAAAATTGACTGTTCTATTAGTACCAAAATTCCCTTCAAATGTATGGGCTTTGTTGCAAAAAGAGTCTAATTTTTATGCTTGACATCCACATTTATATACAAATCAAGAATGATAGAGCATCAATAGTGGGGGATGCCATTGACTACATAAATGAGCTTAGGAGGGAAGTGACAAAACTTGAGGGTCTCATAGAGAAGAAGAAGAAGAGACAGAACAATGGAAATTCAATGAAGGAAAGGTTCTGGTTCAAGAAAACATCTAATGGCACAGAGGTGGACGTACGTGTGATGGACGACGAAGACAAAGAAGTCACTGTTAAGATTGTGCAGCGGAAGGGGAGCGAAAACAGCAGCTGTATAAATTGCCTTCTCCCAGTCTCAAGAGTTCTTGATGAGCTGCAGCTTGGCCTTTGCCATGTAGGAGGAGGGCTCATTGGTGATTGCCATACATTCCTCCTCAATTACAAGGTTGTTTTTCATTCCCTCACATGCTTCATTTTGATTTTTCTGTATATTCTTCCTTTCGCATAGAAAGATTTCACATTTCCTTTTTCGTCCGTCTAAAAAGATTCCACTTTTGGAAAGGCTTTGTGGCGCATATAATTTCTCTCTCCTCTACACTACTTTCAATCGTATATTTGTGTTTTTTTCTTAACTTCTGCGTCAAGTCAAATGTGGAAGCATTTAACGGGACAAAGGAAGTATTAGTGTGGCATACACTCGCAAGAAATGCCTGTATCGCATAGACATTTTGTGTCAGTGTGTGTTAGTGCAAAACATGGTGTACACCATGTTGGTGTGCAAGTAACATTTTTGATCGACTAGATATGAATGAATAATTTATAGGGATGAGTTAGGCCTAAAGGTTATTCTTAATATAATATGAAAGTCATACAATCTGACCATATGACCCGACCTATAGCCATGATAGTGTGACACCCTATGAAAAATCTTGCAAAGAACGACGACCAGTCGACTACATATGAATGAATGAACCCATTAATAAGTATGAGGCAAACCTCACCTCTTGAGAGCTCTTTTGGGATGAGTCAAGCCTAACACTTGTTCTTAACATTAAAGAGAGTAGAATGTTTTTTTTGCTAACCTTGTGATAATAAACTCTCTGTAAAATAATTGGTTTCTTGTTTTGACCATCTTGCAGGTCATTGAAGGTACTACTACTACTACTTTGTGTGCCAGTGCCATAGCCAACCTGGTCATTGAGGCTATGGAAAAAACAGTCACATAATTCTTCGCTTTATGTAACACGCATTTGAGTCATGTAATTTTCATGAATGTAACACCAAAATAACCTCTTTTATATGGATACAATCTCTAGTTTCGAGTAGAGGTAAAGTCTGGATCCACACACACCCTCCACTGACCCAGCTTTCTGTGGGATTTTACTGAGTTTGTTTGTTGTTTTACAAAACATCAAGACTTTCTCAATACAAAGCAAACAATAACTTAAGCAATGCCCTAGAAATATTGAAAGGCGTCAAGTAGAACCAAACCATGAATGGATAAGAAGCAGATTCTCTACCATGCGGCACTCTGCGTAGCCAACCTTAGTCATCCAACGACAGGCATAGTGGGCCTAGCATCTCGATTAGTGGGACCTAAGTCGTTGATCCAACGGCTCCGGCACAAAGGTAACATTTGGGTTTCCATATTTCTACCTCTTCACCAAAATGTAAATCACGACACGCGGAGTGAGGTAATCTGGATGCCAATGCATCTGATCAACACGCCCCACAATGAAGTCCTTTGACACTGCTTCCAAGAAGAATTCAAGGATGGCATCTGTTGGAACAAGAAGAATATGAGAATACTATATTTACTACTCCGTAATATTCTTAAGCTATATAAAGTTGGAGACTTGGAGTACCATTTCTAAGTTCACCAGCTAAAACAATTGTTGTATGAGAATCGCACAGGTCTTTTAGCGTTTCCAACAAATCCATTACTGCTGCTTCGCTATAAATGACATCCGAACCCAGAACTGCAATGGAGGATTAAAAGATATAGCAGCTGTCCATTTTTTTAGTCAATAGAAGAACATAACATGATGTCAATTGAGGAGACTTCAGGCTTTATACATCAAATAGAGACATATATCCAGCAAACAAGGTATTCTGGATAATTTTGGATTATAAATCATATTCGTAAAGTCCTTAGTATGGAATACCCCGTAGTAGGTACTAGTGTAAAATAGGCTTTTACGTTAAACTTTTTACCTCGGTCATTAAAGAAATGGTGTCAACACTTCAGTTGAGTCATTTTCAAAAATTTTATGGAGTAAATGATTTTATTCATTAACTCACAAACTAAGTTCTTTGATTGGGCCATTTCATTAAGTTTTAACATATTTTCTTCATTAATTCACAAATCAACCGATGTAATGCAAAAGCGGTAGGCACCCTCCTTCCCAATATAAAGTTCATTATCTCCTTTTTTACTCTCACAATAAACTTTGATTCGTTTTAAGGAATGAATTGTGCGGTTGACATGTTCTTTTTAAAGTAAATTTCAACTTTACCTCTTTTATATGGAAAGAGTTGATGAACAAAAAAATGAATTATCATGGTATTCCAGTCTTTGAAGAGAGGTTAGTCATCTTACCATAATCAGGCAAAGGATTACGCAGAACAGGATCGAGTTCGTCTCCCCAAGTGAGTTCAGTCACTGTTGCCGAACCTTTTACATCTCCATACAAATTAGCTTCAACATTTTTCTTCAGTAATCTCAATCTATCTGGGAGATCAGTAAGAATAACCCGAGCACCCAAAAAGGCAGTGATGCACCTGGAAATGATAACAGTGAGAAGAAATGGCAGTATACTTATAAACAATGAAGTCTAACTTGGTAAAGCTTTGCAGTATGCTAATGATTAAAGTAGAATCAACACTGGTCTGCTTATAAACAATCGCTGGTCAGAAGTGTCCCGAACTAGTCTGCAAAATCTCTAAAACAGAATATCATTTTAGCTTTTAACAGCTTTTCCAAGTTGGTTTGCTATTATAGATATTCTTAAGTCTTAACTAATGATGATTAAAGTAGGATCAACACTAATAGACAAAAGCTGAAGCACCAATATTCATTACCCCACTAATCCACAGCCAGATCCTAATTCAACAACCTTCTTTTTGTGCAGCGAAATTGCTTCGGATTCCACAGCATGCTCTAAGAATTTTCCAAGAACAACTCCACTATCCCACATTACTGAACCAGTTACTCCGGGAGTTCCCTAAAGTCAAAAGTATGTCTATAATTGATCATTCAAGGTAATAGTGATTGTAGTTGTATTCTGTAAAAATACAAATTGTGTGTGAGGAACTGAGAAAGAGGGGTTTTAAGAATGCTATCCCGCATCACAGAACAACAAAACCGGATATCTGTGTTCTCTAAAGTTGAAGAAGTATATGCCTGTAATTTACCATTTGAGGTATGAAAGATGGAGTTTGAGAGCACTAGTACAGAGTATCACAAGACAGTAATCTCATTAGCTTATAAGTTATAACACAAATATCAACTGCAATATATTATTTTGAAACCATGGTACCACAGATTGCCAGAATTACATGTTTCTCACATGTCACGGAGATGGAATACAAAGTCCAAAGAAGCTATAGACAGCTTGAACAGTTTTGGCAAGCATGTGGGAAAATGGTTATCTTTCATTACACACGCAAAGACTGGAGAATTACAATCCTTCGTTACTTCCAGCAATACGCTTAAATCTTGACAAACACATCAATTCATATATTTTTTCCACAAAAAGCAAACACGTAGGCTTTAGAATGACATCATCCCTAGAACGAGAAGAGAAACTATTGTAGTGTAGAATAGAAAACACTACATTAAAAGTAAACTCAATATCACCGCTGCAGGCTTTAGAACAACATCATCTCCAAAGTTAGCCAAGTATCCGTGTAATTGTGCACCCAATTCAGGAATTAGCACTGCTTAAAGTGCCGAACAAGGAAACAAAATGGTTCTTATTGTTTTGGTATTCGTGGAGACAACAGGGAGAATGATAGGAGTATTGGCAACTCAAATATAAAAGGAGAAAAAGAGTGCTGCATGAGCTCTCAAACAAGACATTCATGCCTTGGGAAAGTTGATAATTATCTTAGTCTACTGCGTAGGTCCCTTCTCAAAATGAGAGTTTATTTAGTCTATTGCAACCTATAGTTAAAGTAAGAAATGCTCCCTTCGTCCTAAAACAAACTCCATGCTTTGACTTCACAGAGTTCATGAAAAATATTGTAAAGTGAAAAGTGTATAGTTAGAATTTGTTCAAAAGAAAAAGAAATTATTAGCGCCACACATCCCTTTAAAAGGAAATAAGGAAACTATAAAATTTATTTTAGAACGTACGGAAAAGAAAGTGTGAAGTTTATTCTGGGACAGAGGTAGTAATAACTTGCAAAGAAATAATGAGATGAAAATGTAAAACCTTCATCACCATAAATAATCCAGCAACAAGCTTTGCCACTATGCTTCTTTGCACAAATTTATACCATAAACTATTTTATTCATTTAATTACCACTACAAATTGCATGCTACGGACCCCAACTAAAAGGGAATAAGGTGTTCATGACGATAGTAGGGATTGGAAAACATTTAAATCACAACAAACAATTTTGTTGAACCCTCCCACATTTTATTTTGCAAATTCTTCAACTTTTCTAGTTTTCTTAATACGGAGTAATAAAAAGCATTTCATAGAAAAAAATGCACAAGAAATTACTCGTATAATAGTACATAAATTCAAGTCTAACCACATGCTCCCTACTTTCCAAATAAGTACTGGTTCAGGTGAAATTCTGGAAAAAAAAAATAGAATTTGGTGCACATATATAGCACAGCTCATCAAACATTTCTATGTAGTATAAATTAAGGGAAAAAAAAACAATTACACTCCCAAATTCATACTTCCGCAACAATCAAATCCCTAAACTCAAATCAATTAGGTTGAATTTGATGATCCAGAAGCATACCAAAGAAGAAGGGGACTGAAGAATGGACAGAGAGCGGCCACAGGAGTCAAGGCGGAGTTGGAGGGAGGACTGTTTGGCGAAGGCGTTGGGCTTCGAGAGAGTTGGCTGTTGTAATCCCCATAGCAGCATCGTCTCCTCTGCTGGCTCTTGGCAGTTCACTATCCTCACTTTCCCTTTGTATAATCCTAGCCCATCCACAATCTTTTCTTCTTCGCCTGCATCCTCTTCGTCTACCGCCTTCTTCGTTTGCGCGAAGCTCGGCGCAGCCAGATTGGGCATCGTCATCATCTTCTGCGCAGCTCCCCTCCCAAATTACTTCCTTGTAAACTCTTTTTGTTTTTTCCAACAATGTAATTTAAACTTTTTATTTTTAAAAAGAGTAAATTTCATAAAAGGTCCCCAATTATAGGTCATTTTACATATTTAGTCCCTACATATCAAATATTACTAATTTGGTCTCCAATTATTATATTTATTTCTACGAATGATCCTTTGTTAACATTTTCATTAAAACGTGGATAAAATTATAAATTCACACTCCTTTCTCTCCTCAATTAAGCTTTCTCCTCCCTTGTACTCCTTTCTCAAACCCGTTTTCTCAAACCCGTCGCTGAGTTTTCAGCATTGAACCCTAAACCAAAATCATCACTCTTCTCTCAATTGTTTGTCTAACTAGAGGAACGATCATTTAAATTTTGGGTTTAAGAGCTTCAAACTCAGCGACGAGTTTGGGAAAGAGTATGAGAAGATGGAGAAAGCTTAATTGAGGAGAGAGAGAAGTATGAATATACAATTTTATCTACGTTCTTAACGGAAATGTTAACAAAGGACCATTCGTGGAAATGAATATAATAATTGGGGACTAAATTAGTAATATTTGATATGTGGGGACTAAATATGTAAAACGACCTATAATTGGGGACCTTTTATATAATTTATTCTTTTAAAAAAGATGATATTTTGTCACGTCTTTCGATATGTTGTAAACAATTTGATAAGGAGGTAGTACAATTTTTGGTACGGGGCCATTCCCGTTAGGTGTGGCCAAAGATCTCAAAATCGTTGCCTCGATCTGAAATATCCTGATCACGTCGCTATAATGTTTCGTTTTGTTATGAATGACAAAATTTTGTCCCAAGCCCGTTCCGAGCCATTTTAAAATGGGACAAAACCGGGATACATAGGTATTTTCACGTTGCGTCACGTTGTCCCGTTTAGATGTATGTATCTATTTATTTACATATGTACAGAGTGATATACCACAAAAAATATCATACTCCGGGTAATTTTGTTTTCCCCAAAATAGACATAAAAAATATCCATATACGAATATTTAAAAAAATAGACTAGGAACGGAACACCTATAAATCCAAATCATTCTAACCCGATCCATCCTAATTTGTTGTTCGAAGTTTTTATGAAGCTTATAGTCTTGACTTTTGACGTATGTGGTAACCTTTCCGGTTTTGGTATAAAAACAAAAATTACATGAATTAAGCTGCCCTTAAAATTGTACCCCAAATTATGCATCACAGATACTAAACATAGTGTCAAATTACGTGAACCAAACATAGTGTTTACTAAACATAGTGTCAAATTACGTGAACCAAACATAGTGTTAAGTCTTTGTTCGAATCATTTTTTTGCTCATATGCTTTTCTATATCCACACTTAAAATCTGCTCATTTTCTTCTTCAGAAGAATGAGCGCTTTTAACTTCTAAGGACATTTTTTGTTTTACTCGTATTTTTTGCTCTATTTGATTTGATTTTATATATTTTGAACCAAGTGGTTTGTCACACTTTTTTTAGTATAACAAACTCATTTACAAGAATTCAATTTTGGCAAAAGCATTCACAGGAAAAATAAGTAATGTTGTCACTCTCTTTAAGTTTGTAAATGTGTCATGCAATTGCCTAATCACAACACATTTGGAGGGGTGCATGGGTGTGGCTGGGATGAGGAGTTAGGGATAAGAATCATCAATTTTCTGAATAGAGCACCGAAGGCGCTCCAAAAAGCCGGCCGGTGGCAACAGAACCGGCCCGTGGAAATAAACCATGGCCCCTGTTTCTTATGACCATAGACCATTACAAGTAAGACAAATCATGAATTAAGGAATCTTCCCTCCTCAAAACTTGTACAAAGTCCAGCAATAAAAAAAACCTCTTTTGAGTTTCAGCACATCTCTTTTCTGAACCTTCATGAATAAAATATAACAGGAATCATCAGCATATATGTGGAGCTCGTCACGTTCGGGCATCCGAAGATGATTAACCGTGCCCGAACGAGCTTTCCTCGCTACTAAACTCGTCAATTTCCTTCTTGTGTGCCCGCAGGCGCTCCTTTAACTTTTTGCTCTCCTCAAAGTTTGCCTTCCGCTTCACACTTTTCTGCCAAAAAAAATATGAATGCAACATATTCATTTGGCTATTTTCCCCGGGGAGTCTATAAAAAATCTATGAAGAACAGAGATATTCTGGGCAAAGAAATTAATTACTTCCTGCCTGAAGCAGCGGTCAAGCTTGATCTTGAGATCAGTGCATTCGCCAAAGAATTTCCCTATAGGGTGGTCCAAATGACATTTTTGGAACTGCTCGATAATCTGATCATATAAAGTTCACATTTGAGCTGTGAAAGATTGTTTCTCACTGTCGTGATGCTCTAACATATGACACCGGCGATTGGTGAAAGAGTACTTTAAAGAGGAACATACCTCTGCACGCATTGGGTGCCGATGTAATGTTAGGGGAGGATGCATCTTTTTTTAGAGGAAAATATTCCTACAGAACATAGTAAATGAAAACTGAATGATTTTTATACAAAATTATAAACCAAACCAAACAGACAGGAAGTCCAGTTTGAAAACTGAAAGTTCATATGATCTTCAGATAAGATCTCCAAATAACACAACCAAGTATCCTTACTGAGCCCCAAAACTAGTAATGTTCATGCAACATTGTTTTCCATTTTAAAAATGGCCACAGATTGTACATTAAGAGACTATGAAAAGCTCACTCCTTGTTAGTGATAAAAATTGTGTAAAAGGGATTTTTACCATCTTCAACTCATCTGCATGTAAAAGTGTCTCTTTATTCCAGAGAAAAAGAACGCCTTTGTATACTAAGAACGGGTGAGATGATACAAATGAAGTAACCACATGGGATGTGGGTTGAGGCAAGCCATCTTAGGCTAGGTCTACATTTAGTATATTATTATTGTTATTATTATTATTGTTATAATTATTATTACTATTATTATATTATTATTCCTATTATTATGACTATAATTATTATTGTGCTTGTTCGTGGTGTTGTGTTTGTGGGCTTAGTGGGGGAGTTATAGGCGGGAGTATAACTCCCAAATTACTGTGTGTATATATTGCTTGTATTGCCTAGTATGGAAATCAATGAAGAAAGTATTTTCCTAATAATAATAATAATAATAATAATAATAATAATAATAATAATAATAATAATAATAATAATAATAATAATAATAATAATAATAATAATAATAATTTACTAAATGTAGATCAGCCTAAGATGGCTTGCCTCAACCCACATCCCATGTGGTTACTTCATTTGTATCATGAGAACTAGTAAATTTAGAAAAGAAGATAAAAGATACAATGAAGCATAAAAAATGAGATCCCATTGATTGAAAATGGTTAACATGGTTAACCGATTGATAAAACACACTTCACATTTTAATTCTACTTGGAATCAGGGATTGGAGAGAATATGATAATCAGAGTAGTACTAACATTAACAACAGAATACAAAAAGTTTCTAGTTGATAACAACAAAAGCTAAAAGTAGGGGCGTAAAAATCATACAAAATGTTGGAGTACAAAACCTAAACGAACAGATTAACAACTTGAGTTAAACAGAATGTTAGTTAATAGCCTAAAAATGAGATTAACAGTTTAAAAAGATTAAACTTCTCATAACAGATTAACAGCTTGAGCTAAACGAAACTTAGAGTAAAAAAAAAACTTAGAAAAACAGGTTTCAAAGAAGATTAACAGATATATTAACAACAACAGAAGATCCTAAACCATAAGGGCTCAATGCCTCTGAGGTTCTGACCTAAATTGGATAAAGGAATGCGAATCATTAACAATAACAGAAGCTAATAACAAAAAATGGATATTAGGGCTGAATTAATGTCTAAATTGGATAACACAATAATTAAAACAATAAGAGAAGCTAATAACAGAATGCTTAAATTGGATATTGGGGCTGAATTCCACTGACCTAAGCGGCGGCTCAGACAGCCGTACATACGGGTTTTCTTCGATCAGAGGTTGAGGGAGAGACTCATGATGCCCGAGGAAGAAATCGGTTGTTGGGGAGAAGCACAAGGAAACGAAGATGGTGGATGAGTACCAACGATCGATGAACCTGCGGCTCAGACCCAAACGAAGAAGAAGAAGAAGAAGAAGATAGTAGCAATCTGCCGATGAGTAGTTGATTACTTGAGGCACTTTCGTTCCTGTACATCCATAAGTTCTGCAATTAGATATTTCTAGAAAATGAGTATTTGATTGTTGGAAAATTAGTATCGTATAGACATTCTTACTCTGATTACCTGTGTCTTTGTGAAACTGGTGAATGAATCTTGCAAAACCTGTTTCCCACTGTTTCATCTTTAATTATTTATAGTTTTTAATTGATTATTTAATGAAATAAAATTATTTTGTCACCATTCACTTTATAACACATTTGATGAATTTTTTAAATATGTAAATTTTATAATTTTTTACTTTTATACTAATTTGAGAGAAATAATTTAATAAAAGATGAGAATCTTGCATGTGAAGAAAGACAATTTATTTTAAAAACTGATAGGGTTTATATACATCTCGAAATTAGCACAACAAAGTTTTGTCTCGTGAAATAGCAACATTTTGTCTTAAGTTAATGCCTACTTGGTTAATGATATAAATGAAGGGAAAAGATTAAACTATGAGTAAAACATAAAAAATAGACAAAAATAAGAATTCTATATTTTTGTTTTCAACATAAGAGTTACAATACCAATAATCTCAACATTTAATATCAAAAAATATTATAGAATTTCAATATATAATGTCACGGTCCGATTTTTTTTTTTTTGAAATAAAAATTTGGTACTTTTATTTTGGTATTTTTTCTATATTTTAGACTTAATTTGGGTGATTTCTAATAAATGAATATATTTGACATTGGGTTTTATTTAAAATCATAGCAAAATATAAAGTTTTATCTTGTTTGAAATTTGACAGATAATCCGCAAGACCAGATGCTATGAAATTCAGTGAATGTATATAAACCTTTTCATTGACTCTATTCATTGAGACTACAATTGTGTGAATGATGTTGTTTTAATGCTCTCATATGATTAATATTCTAACATTAATAACATACGGAGTATGTAGCAATTGGTATCCCTTTCAAAAATAATTTGTGGCTTGAAATCCCCTACCATTTGATCATATTCAAAACTCAATTGTTATCTAACCGTCATCAACGTTTACAATATTAAGCTGCTCTATAGCAATATCCTACAATATTTGCGACAGCGATCAAATAATCAACGGGAAACCATCGCAGAGTTTGAGACATCGTATTGCAACAACAATTCTGTCGCAATCCCACGCAACGTTTTATATCATCAACAACCGCAAAAAGAACGATCACCCCCGTCGCAAATGTGCCAAGTGCAACTAATGATACTGCGACAGGGATCCTGTCTCAAACATCATTTACTACCGTTTTTATTCACCTTTGCAACTATATTTTTTTGTCGCAAATGTGCCAAATGCAACTACTGATTTTGCGGCAGGGTTTCTGTAGCAAACATCATTTACTGCCATTTTTATTTACCTTTGCAGCCATGACTTTCTATCGCAAATGTGCCAAGTGCAACTAATGATGCTGCGACAGGGTTTTCGTCACAAACATCGTTTACTACCGTTTTTATTCATCTTTGCAACAAATTTTTCCTGTTGCTAATGTGCCAAGTGCAACTAATGATACTGTGACATGGCTTCGGTCACAAACATCATTTACTACCGTTTTTATTTGCCTTCGCAACCATGTTTTTATGTCGCAAAACCTACTGCCTTTTGCAATGTTAACAAGTTTTTGACCCTAGAATCCTCACAGCTACTCCCTCCGTCCCTAAATATTTGCCACACTTGTATTCCCGAAGTAAAATATTAAGTTTTTTCAATTCATTTTATTTACATATTGGTATAGAAACAAAAAATAAAATTTACATATCAAAAAACTACATGAAAAGTTCTCCCAAATAAGTGGTGTCAAGAATATTTTATTTTATCAAATAACCAATGAAAACGTAAAAATAAACAAAAGTTCTCGCGACTGCTGAAAAAGCAAATGTTGTAAATATTTTGGGACGGAGTGAGTACTTTTCAATCTAAGAACCATAGGACAACACAAGAATTGGTAACTAGAAAGAATGTGTTAAAATCGATGAATATTTTAATGAGACAAAACAACACTTTTATGGACCCACAACGTCACATTCAAATTGCTCCAATGCTTGCGAAATTTTTTTAAACTTTAGTTCTATCTTTTATTAATCCAAACTTTTAGACTTAAGACTTCCTCTGTTTAAAAAAGTTCGAGTCCAAATGTACTCCATATATATCTAATGGAAAATAAGATAGGCGTATGAAACAATCAAGCAACCCTCTTTAACTTTCAAAACATCATCTCGCAGCGTTGTTTGAGAACAACATTTTTTATTAGCATTTGCGTTTTAGAGGATTTTTTTAATAATGCTTATTAATTTTCAAAACATTAAAACTACACAATGTCATTACACAGCCTTTTGAAAAGGCTAAAGTTGTTGCCAAACACACACATTGTCCATAGTGTACTAGGAGATTTTATTAAAAGTACCAAGGGGGGAATCAAATAAAATAAACGAAATTTGAATTAGCTGAACAAAGATTAATCATGTTTCTCACAATCTTTTGTGAAACTCTGATTTCCACTGTTGAAGCTTTCTCTGTTTGCTTAATATTTGAGCTTCAAAACAAGTCTCATTTCATGGTTCTATAAATTAACCAAACGAACCTGAGCCAAACACGACCCGTTCGCCGAACATTATGTTTATCTACTGCTTAATCCCACCCGCAAACTCTTCCAAACCAACAAATCGTTCCCCACTTCTTCACACTCTTCTGTCACTGCTACCGGCAAGAAAAGCATCAGCTGCAGAATCCATGTCGCGGGGAAAGAAAACCCTGCAAGTGTTGTGAAACAACGTGTTGCTCAAATGCTCAATGTCAGAAATGCCCTTGGCCCCAGCAACAACCTCAACCACTTGCCTAACCAAACACGGTTCATTGCGCCCCTTCACAATGCATTCCTCATCATACCTATCTTTTCTCTTAGATGGCCACAAAGATCTCACGAAGCGGGTCCCAGCATGCGTGTTCTTGATCTCGCAGTAAGGAGAGTCCGTCTCAATCATCATCCTATCAACAGGAATGCCCTTCAAGACCTCGAGGTTCTCCTCAGTCTTCAGAGAGCAACCATTGACACCTATGAAAAGATTATCAAAGGCGAGAAGCTTGTCTCGGTCCTCTGAACTGTCTGTGAAAGAGTGGACAACCCCAGCAAGGAACTGACTCTTGTTCCTTTCAAATATGTCGCAGAAGTCGCAGGCAGCTGCTCGCATGTGTAGAAACATTGGCAGCTTCATCATAGAAGCTAGTTCGAATTGCTTCTCGAAGTACTTCTTTTGAATGTCAGAAGGGCAAAAATGAAGCCTGTCGTAGTCCAATCCACACTCTCCAATGGCAACCACTTTTCCTTTACGAACGCCCTCTTTAGCGAGGGTTAAGAGGGCTTGAAAATGCTTTTCCGGGTCCCCACTCTCATCGAATTCCCTGCATCTTGTTGGATGAACTCCTACTGTGCAGAACAGCCTTGTGTCTGATTCTGCAATTGCAAGAGCTTCCTTTGATTCCTCGAGTGAGCCACCCGTAACGATGATTCGATCAACCCCAGCAGCCCAGGCTCGCTTCAGAACTGCTTGAATATCAGGAGGATGATACTGTTTCCCATTGTATATTCCTTTGAACATGCTGTCTGTCAAATTAACTGCAATATCTATCATTCGTAGTGCGGCCATGGCAGATGCTGCAAAGCGGGAGAGGGTCTCGATCTAAAATCAAACCAGTAGTGAGCTGCTAGGGTTTCAAAATAGTCTTAATAGTGCAGAGCTCAAGCTAAACACACCTGGATGACTGATCGCAGATCCGGTAACGGACGCTGCTGAGTTCGACTCAGGGACCGGATCGCAGGAGTAGGCCGGGCGTTGGCGCTGGCGCCGGCGATAATTCCGCAGGTTAGGAGTCGATGATGGCGATGGAGTTCGGGTGGAGGATCTGAAACTGTGAAGACGGCGACGAGATACGTGCAGCCAGAAAGGGTCCAATACAAATTGGGAAGATTGGATGATTAAATTTGTCCATGAAGACCCCTCATTTTTTAGTTTTTACTCAAAAATATCAAATTAAACCAATAATGGAACAAATATTATGATGCCAAAAGTGACGTCAAATATAAAATTTCTCTAGTCACTAACTCATAATTTGACACCTTAAGTTTTTTTTTGCACAAATAGTGATTATAGAAGGATGAGAAATTTAGCTATGAGACTAGTACTATCAACTTTGGCTTAATCCACACTAATTATTTTTCTCGCACACATTAATTATAAATCTAAGTGAATAATGCTAAAAATTAGAATGGGTGTCCAATGGATGACAATAAAATACTCCCTCCGTCCCACTGTCTTTGTCCACTTACCTTTTGGCACACCATCCAATGCACTTCTTTAATCCATTTTATCTTGTAATTTGTATATTAAAAAATTATAGAAATTATATATTAATAATCTATATGTTAAGACGAATCAAACAAGATCACACATGACTATTTTTAGGCTTACACATTGAGAGAATTTGATGAGTCAAAGTATTTAGATGAACAGTTCCAAAAGTCAAATGTGGACAAAGACAGTGGGACGGAGGTAGTATGATTTTACGTATACATAGGCGATGATCGACTGTGTCCACAAATCATTATCGTCTGTGTATGTATAATCATATATGGTTATCATCCATGTAGGCAACCATGAAGATTCCTAGCATGATCCATTGTAAAATACATTTTTTATTTGAAAGATTCTAATAATATCAACTTTGATGTTATTCTTCGTGACTTTGTAACATACCCTTTTTTAATTAGCTCGGGGCTACTTCACGGGGCTACTAGCTCGGAGTCTCTCCTTCTTGTTGATAAAAAAAAAGAATGTTTTAGAAGATACCCAAGTATAATTTATGATAGTGGTAGATACGAATAGAAACTCAATGTTACAATATTAGTATTAGAAGCGAACAGGTGGTGAGGGCAATGTTCATTTTGGTGCAAACATACATTTGGAGTTTTTTTTGCACATTTTTTAATTTTCATCTAGTCCACTAATGTCAACCCCTAATAGTTCAGAAAAGGGTTATGCTAGGATATCCCCACACTTTTAACCTCATGTTTTGCATATATATACAATAATCATCTCTGCGGCACAATCAATTATTGTTTACGT